GGGAGAGAAGGGCGCCCCGCCGCTCGGGGGGGAAGGGGTGGAGGTGTTGGAGGAGTGAGCAGCAGGGTCAGTGGGTGTGCTGGAGCTGGGGTAGCTGAAGAGCCCGGGGCAGGACTGGGCAGACAGAGGTGTGGGAGAGCTAGAGAGCGATGGCATGAGGGCAGGAGACCCCTGGCTTCCAACTGGCACAAACACCTGAGCGTCTGGGTTAAAGCCCAGACTCTTGGTCTCCTCTGCCTCTGCATCTCCTTTCCCGTCTCTCATCACCCCCTCAGCCCTCTCGCCGTCACAGCCGAGGCCTGGGGCGTCCTCCAGGTAGAGAACCTTCACTGCCCCCTTCTCTCCAATCTGGTAGGACACCTCATAAGGGTCAATCCACACACTGAGCTCTGCAGGAACATTTGCACGCACTTCCTCAGTGTCCAGTCCACTTCGTTTGGCAGCCAGCTCCACTACTGGGTCCCTAGGTGCTCCCAGGTGAATGCAGCGGAAGGCCGAGCCCCTAAGAGGGGCTTCAGGGTACCAGTGACCCTCAAAGCGAGACACCAGTATCCTCTCCAGCTCCTCACCAAACAGGTCAGCTCGACGCCGAGGCAGCTTGTTGTACAGGTAGGACACGATGAAATTGAGAGCAACCTTCACTTCCAGATGCATGACTACACCAGGTTAGCACCGTTGGAGTGTTTAGGATGGTTGTCACTGAAAGTGAGGCAATGTGCATGTAACAGGAAGTCTTTCCTCTGGCTTAGTGTGACAAGTACGATTCTTTTAGTGTCACCATTGTAAAGGCACCTCCAAGGCAGGAGCAGCAGGTCGGAGGCTGCGTTTGTCGTTGTCACTGTGTCTTCAGGTGACTGACAAGAAAACAGAAGGAACTGTTATTACTTCACCAGAACAAACAAGCTTACCAGTATCAACATTATTTTAGACAAATGCGGTTTATATGTTTGTCTTCGTTGCATACCAGGGTTAAATAGCATCAGAAGGAGTTTATATAAAAATAAAAAACTACTGGTTTGTAAGTGTGTCAGTTCAGTGAATGCTTGATTGATTCATACAACTGTTTCAGTGTCACGCTCCAACTTCCATACAGATAACGGACATCATGGAAGCAGAAAATATACATGTCTGCAGGTGTCAGACCAGTGGAAGTGTCATTGCTTAGTACAATATGGATCGAGGCATTTCTGTACCGACCCATGAAAACAAACATTGATTTCAAACCTGACACGAGTCCAATTAGTTCTGAGATGAATTTAAATAGATTCAGACAGCTTGGAAATTCAAGAAGGATTACTGCTACAACTCTCTACTTCTATAATATGGCAGAAATGCAGCACACGTGTTAAATGCAGGAATACTTCAGTCTGCATACGGTTTGTCAGAAGTGAACAAACTTAGTATCACAGCCACTATTCTTATTCTGCAGCGTCCAGCAATTCTAAATATTTGATATGGGTTGCTCCGTCTACTGCAGGATGTACTGATGTAACAGATGCTGTGTTGTGGGCTTCATAAATCCTTTATAATCTGAATCTGAATTCATGGCGTGCCTCCTGCTTAATGCTGTAACACACATCCACACAGAGTCCATGTAGATCCATTCATAACCATGTAGAGTCGAACCGAATCAGAGATTACATGAAAATGAAAAGACTCACTGAAGAACAAGTATAAAATGGCAGGGAAGTTAATCGACTCTGCAGAACACCATGTCCCACAATGCTGTGCGTGTGATTTCCCCATGCACATACACCAACAATTCACTCACATTCACTTCCCTGCCAGATGGGGATTCAGCAGCTAAGATTAGAAAGATGCCTCAGATTAAAGACAATTCTAATGCTTTTGCAGATGCTGCTGCACAGGCTACTGCAGTGACAGTTCAAGAGGAAGTTTACATTTTCTTGTCGCATGGAAAAGGTGACATTGAATGATAAGGGGGTGATTCAAATGGGCTATAAATAGGTTCCCATTTTGCATCATCGGTGGTGCAAATGTCTCCACCACCCGAGTAAAAATGAGTTTAAAAGGACTGTAGAAAAGGATCCATCATACCATTACCTGCAAGAGCCATCATCACTAAAAACCTTGAGTGGACACAGGTTTAAGCTACCTGCAGCAAACGATGCATTTTGGGCCTCTCATAAAAAATGTAACGGCAAGATACACAAGCTCCAATGACAGAGGAATAACTCTGCTAATATCTGCACATATGTTGCTTCAGGGACGCAACAACTGGCCCACATCACAAACCACAGCTTGTAAATTCATTTAAAAAAAAAGCCAGATTATTTTATGTTCATATGTACATCTCACCTGCAGAGCTGTTTCACTGACTGAAGGAGCTGGCTTCCTTTTTACTGGCCTGTTGTTGCAGCTCAGAGCATCAGCAGGAGCTATAGTGCTATTTTTGTTTACATGGACTCATCAGCGCTGCAAAGTGTCCACCAACATGTCAGGCAGCAGAGCCACAGTGATCAAAGAAAACACAAGCTTCAGTACTTATGGCATTAAAAACAACTTTAGAAATACTAAACCTGAGGGTCAGAGCAACATGTACTGTAGAGGCCTGCCGAAGCTAACTGGTCACTGCACAAGGGAAGATGAATGCCATTGAGAGTCATCCTTTTATCTTGATGAAGCCCCTTCAATTTTCTCCCATCACAACTTTAAATCATTTTGTTGATCACATATCCTCTGAACTGGGACTATGATGCACAATTACCTGCCAAACAACTGAAATAAACATGCAAGAAGAGTGAGCGATTGTAAAAATGTCAACCAGGTCTGCATGTGGTATGACAAGCTCCGATAACAAGGCAGCAGAGTCTACCAGCAGATTACTGCCATGTGTCAGTCAAAAGGCACTGGAGCAGAAAGGACACCGGCTTTGCTGACAGGCAAGTAGCGACTCTCTCTGCCAAATTGTCGCTTTAAATTCAATTATAAAGCTAATTATGTAGTGAACTGCTTATCGACCGAGTATGTGCACTGAGCATTGAAAGGCAGTCCTTCTCTAGCATAAACAGCAAATAAAAACAAAAGAACATGACACCTGCGCCTCATTTCAGCCATTAAATAAAAGACAAAAACAAAAGGCTTGTCTTTATTCAATGGCTGAAACTGTACAGTCATTCATTATAGCCTACTGGCGGATAACCACAGCTTCTGAAAACAAACACACAACACGCTGTTGTCAATTAACACTTCCATAAGGACATTTAAATCAAACGAGCTTATTCAACGCAGCGACTGACAAGACAATTACTCACCTTTCGTTAGTGATGCTCTAGCTTCATTTGTACTCCAGCGTTTCTCTTTTAATTCCCTTCTGTTGACTCCAAGGCGGATGTGTCGCGTCGTAGGTTCAGATGCTAACCAGGATATGCCCTTTTCGCATTTATATAGCCGATTTGTTTAAATTCGCTAACCCAGTTCTCAGACAGAGAGGCGTTTTCGAGCTTGTCTCCAGCTGACAGTTTGCACGAGAGTCCAGAGAAACTTTAGTTAGTGTTTGACAACCCGGCGTATTTATACACTTTGGCTCGCCCACACCCCCGTGACGGCAGGGACTACTTTCTTCACATGATAACCGCTGCTGTGTTATTGTTATTATTATTATT